AGAGGTCTCAGCCATCTTTCTCTCTTCTGCTCTTGGAGATCAGAGTCTTAAAATAATAGAGTTCCCTTGCCATGCCCTGTCTCCTCTGTGCATGGACTTCCCCAGAGCTATGTGTGTCTTAATATTACCCTGCATTGACTCAGATCACATCTGCATCTGCCTTAACAGCAGAGGGCACTGAACACGAACGGGTGGCTATTTTGTTGTTGTTCCAGCTTTATTAGGGTACAGTGGACAAAAGCTGTATGTTTGTAAGGTGTACAACTTAATATTTTGATATACATAATATTTTGATACGTTGTGAAATAACTCATCACTATCAGGCGTGTGTGTAGTGAGAACACTAAAAATCTACTCTCTCAGCATATTTCAAGCATACAATAGCGTATTGTTAACTATAGTGACACTACTGTATATTAGATCTCCAGAACATATTCATCCTGTGAACGGAAACTTTGTACCTTTGACCAACAGCTCCCCATTTCCCCTTCCTCTCAGCCCCTGGCAACCACCATTCTACTCTCTGCTGCTATGAGCTGGACTATTTTAGATTCCATATGTAAGTGAGATCATGCAATATCTGTCTTTCTGCGTCTGGCTTATTTCACTTAGCATAATGTCCTCCGGGTTCATTCACGATGTTGCAAATGGCAGGATTCTCTTCTTTGTTAAGGCTGAATACTATTCTATTGTATATATACCACATCTTCTTTATCCACTCGTCCACTGGCAGACATGTAAGTCCCTTCCGTGTCTGTCGTGAATAATACTGCGATGAACACGGGAATGCAGGTATCTCTTCAAGATACTGGTTTTGTTTCCTTTGTGTGTATATGCAGCCGATGCAGGATGTTTTTAGATTTAAGTCAATGTGCTTTAAAAAGGAGATTCTACATTCTGACCAAAATCTGGATTTCTAGCTTCTCTTGAAAACTCAGAATAAATGATTTCCCAGGAAATGTAAGTTTCATGACAACACAGACTTTGTTTTGTACACAGCCTTAGCTCCAGGATGTAGATCAGTGTCTAGCAGTCAACAAATATTTGGTGAATGAATAAATGAATGAGCAATGACAAGGCATGACTACTGTTAACTGAAATTTAATAGCAGCTGTCTCCTTTAGATGGGGAGTATGTTTTCCCTTGCATGTTAAGTAAATGTTCTCTGCAGATGAGTAAAGCGTGGAAAAATAGGCTCCTCTTTTTATGGACTGAATATTTATGAGTCCTCCCTTCCCCCCCTCCCACCACCCAATTCATAGGTCAAAACCCCAGCCTCCAATGTGATGGTATTTGGAGGTGGGGCCTTTGGAAAATAATTAGGTTTAGATGAGGTCATGAGGGTAGGGATCCATGATGGGATTAGCATCCTTATAAGGAAAGGAAAAGCGCTTCCTCTCTCTCCGTGTGAGGACCCAGTGAGAAGGTGACCATCCACAAGCCAGGAAGTAAACCCTCATCAAGAACTGAATCTGCCCACACCTTGATCTTGGACCTCCCAGCCCGCAGAACTGCAAGAAATCAATGTCTGTTGTTGAAGCCACTGGGTCTGCAGTATTTTCTTATGGCAGCCAGAGCTGACTAATACCAAGTACTTCTCTTAACCCCCAGAGAAGCTGATTAAAGAAAGAATGGAAGTAGTAGCCCCGCCTGACAGCAGTGAGTCTAATCAAATTCCGTAGATGGGCGGAAATGTGTTCAGGTCGCAGGTCTCCGTGATGGACAGTTACCTTGTCATCCTACCCCTTCTCCCTCCTGCCCCCCTGAACTGAGTTGAGGACAGTCTTCTGGGGTGGACCTTTCTGGTGATTAGCAGCAAACCTTGTGGGTGAGCAAGGGCTATGGACTGATTCGTGTCCCCCCCCAAGGTTCCTATATAGAGTGGGCCTGAACCCAATAGGACTGGCATCCTTATAAGAAGAGGAAGATACACCAGAGAAACGGTCACATGAGGAGACAAGAAAAAAGACAGCCATCTGCAAGCCCGAGAGGGAGGTCACAGGAGAAACCACACCCAACCACACCTTGATCTTGGACTGCCAGCCTCCAGAAGTGTGAGAAAATAAATGGCTGGTGTTGAAGCTCCCCGGTCAGTGGTGTTTGGTTTGGGCATCCTGAGCTGACTAAGACAGTAGGTCAGGGGTCTTTACCCGTTCGCAATGTGGACACAGTGCCCAAATTACAAAAGCTTTTAAAATGCTCCAAGACCTGAGCAAAGAAAATGTATTATATAGGCTCAAAAATGAAAACTCCAAAATCAAAACGAACTCATCTGTAATTAAATGTTTACAAAACAATGAGTCAGTGTTGATTCGGTGGTATTGGAAGATACTTTATTCTTAACAGAATTCAAAGTGATAAGAATTCAGAATTCAAAAGTTATAGCAAAAAAAAAAAAAAAGACACCTCAGTCCCATCACAGACCTCAGAGGTAAGCTATCAGTTGGAGAAATATGGCTGTGTAGGAACACCCACCCATTCCCTGCCCCCACAGTCAGCTTTACCTCACCAGACGACATCATGCTCACGTGCTCTGCCTTCCAGCTGGAGGCCTCCATCTTTTATCCGACCATCCATTTACGCAACCTGCCCCTCCGATCCTCACGTACACCTGTCCCCTGCCAACCTCTCCTAGCCCTCGTATCCCCAACCCAGGAGTGCCCTCATAACGCCCATTCAATCCCAACACCACCCATTCTCTAGGACCCAGCTGAAGCCCACCTTCCTCCACGGTTGTCTTCATCTGACCGCTTCATCATGTAAGCATCTTTGCCTTCTCCAAAATATTGGGGTGTTTTAGTCTGAACCACCTATTTAGCAGTCAATTTACAACTGCTTTCTGTTTTTTCTCTGATGATTTCATAGACCTACAACTTGTGTCCCAAACTAGACTCTTAGCCTCTTAGACTCTTAGCCTCCATACAGCACTGGCATTGTTCTGTTACTTTTTTCTTTGTACCCTGGAAGAAAAGCCTCCGGAGTGGGACAAACAGTAAGTGGCTAATGGATTCTTCTTTTCCTATATGACTTATTGTGAATCTCCTTGGCTTCCAGCTCGACTGAAGGGGTCCTCACCCTCCATTTCCTTCTCACCAGGACCTTCTTTCTGTCCCCCATCTCCTCACTCCGTAGGTCAGAAAATAGTGGGAAATATAAACGTACAGACTTTTTCATGGAAAAGTGCACAAAAAGACCCTGGATACCTCCCTGAGATCCCAGGCCAGAAAGGACTGGCATGGTATCTTCAGAGCACTAAACGAGAAAAATATCCAGCCAAGAACACCATATCCAGCGAGGCTGTCATTGAAAATAGAAGGAGACGTAAAAAGCTTCCAGGACAAACAAAAACTAAAAGAATTAGCAAGCACCAAACCAGCCCTACAAGAAATATTGAAAGGGGTCCTCTAAGCAAAGAGAGAGCCTAAAAGTAACAGAGACCAGAAAGGAATAGAGACAATATACAGTAACAGTCACCTTACAGGCAAGACAATGGCACTAAATTCATACCTTTCAATAGTTACCCTGAGTGTAAATGGGCTAAATGCCCCGAACAAAAGTCACAGAATATCAGATTGGATAAAAAACAAGACCCATCGATATGCTGTCTGCAAGAGACTCAGTTTAGACCCAAAGACACCTCCAGATTGAAAGTGAGGGGGTGGAAAGCCATTTACCATGCTAATGGACACCAAAAGAAAGCTGGGGTGGCCATCCTTATATCAGACAAATTAGGTTTTAAACCAAAGACTATACTAAGAGATGAGGAAGGACACTATATCCTACTTAAAGGGTCTATCCAACAAGAAGATCTAACAATTGTAAATATCTATGCCCCTAACATGGGAGCAGCCAATTATATAAGTCAATTAATAAAAAAATTAAAGAAACACATCGACAACAATACAATAAGAGCAGGGGACTTTAACACCCCCCCTCACAGAAATGGACAGATCATCTAAGGAAAAGATCAACAAGGAGATAAAGGCTTTAAATGACACACTGGACTAAATGGACTTCACATATACATTCAGAACATTCCATCCCAAAGCAACAAAATACACATTCTTCTCTAGTGAACATGGAACATTCTCCAGAATAGGTCACATCCTAGGTCACAAATCAGGTCTCAACCAGTACCAAAAGATTGGAATCATTCCCTGCATATTTTCGGACCACAGTGCTTCGAAACTAGAACTCAATCACAAGAGGAAATTTGGAAAGATCTCAAATACATGGAGGCTAAAGAGCATCCTACTAAAGAATGAATGGCAGCACCTGGGTGGCTCAGTTGGTTGAGCGACTGCCTTCGGCTCAGGTCATGATCCTGGAGTCCTGGGATCGAGTCCCACATTGGGCTCCCTGCTCAGCGGGGAGTCTGCTTCTCCCTCTGACCCTCTTCCCTCTTGTGCTCTCTATCTCTCATTCTCTGTCTCTCTCAAATAAATAAATAAAATCTTTAAAAAAAAATAAAGAATGAATGGGTCAACCAGGAAATTAAAGAAGAATTTAAAAAATTCATGGAAACAAATGAAAATGAAAACACAACTTCAAAATCTTTGGGATGCAGCAAAGGCAGTCCTAAGAGGAAAGTATATAGCAATACAAGCCTTTCTCAAGAAACAAGAAAGATCTCAAATACCTCCCCGAGATCCCAGATTATATGAGGTCCCTAATTTTACTCTTAACCGTCTGCCCTTTTCCTCTGCCATATTGATCATGGCTTGTAGTTAGGTATTTGTGTATTTGTGTATGGCAATGTGTAACTGGGTGCCCGTTGCACTCACCAGATTATAATCCTTCTGAGGGCAAGGGAGGCACATGCCTGTTTTGCCCCCCATGTATCCTAAGCTCAGCATAAAGCCAGGTACAAAGTAGGTGCTGACTACTGTTGTTGAATGAACGAAAGAATGCATAGAGAGTCCAGACAAGGTGCTTTGGCAAGTCTTCGCATTTCTTATAGTCCCGACTGAAACAAAACAAAACTCTCCCTGCTCTTTCAGACGACACAAGATGTACAAAGAGCAGCTCAACCTCACCTCCTTGGACATTCCACAGCAGCTCCGACTTGAGGCCAGCTGGGTCCAGTTCCACCTGGGGATCAGCCGCCACGGGCTGTACTCCCGGTCCAGTCCTGTCGTCAGCCAACTTCTCCAGGACATGAGGCGCTTTCCCACCATCAGTGCTGGTGAGATTCACAGGGTCAAGGCAGGATGCACTGACTTTCTCCCGGAGAGGCTACATAGACCATCTCAGCCTGGGCTCTAGCGTGAAATATTAAAGGGTTGGCTCTGACACCTGATAGGATAATAAGAAAAACAAACACTGATCTTTTTTCCCTTTGAAGGAGATCTTATCATTCTAATCTCATCACAGCCCCATCAGAGAGCCCTAAGAAAGTGTTTCTGTGCACATAAAAGAATGGTGGCTGCTACCATTTATTGAGTGCTTCTCGGGAACCTGGCCACTCTCTTTTATACAGTGACTACATGACATAGATATTATCATGGCCATTTTACAGGTGGGGAAACTGAGGCTCAGAGAAGTTAAGCAACTTGGCCAGAGACCCAGCGGTGGTGCTGGGATTCAAACACAGTCCTCTTGCCCCAGGTCTGTGCTCTCAAGCAGTTCAACGGTCTAATCACTAACAGAGACCAAACTAGGCTCGATCATTCGCCAGGTGCTGCCGGAGCAGCCACTGAAGGGCTAGAGGGCCTGGGGCCTGGGATTGAATAGGGTGGAGGCTGCATCCAGCTGGGGCCCGGAGCCATCCCCTGTTGAAAGGACAAGGGCCCCAGGCTGCCTCACCATCTCCCCCTCTGTGGTCTGAACCAGCGTGAAGGGTCCTGCATGGTGAGGTCTCCTAGGAACAAGCCTGGACGTTCTCAACTGCCCTTCTCCTCCTTTTCAGATTACAGTCAGGACGAGAAGGCCTTGCTTGGGGCATGTGACTGCACCCAGAGTAAGTGGCCTGACCCCACCTCTGTCCAGCCCCCTCACTGCCAGAGCGCTATGAACCCCGGGACCTGGCAGCAACATGAGGGGCCCACCGTCCACTCCGTGGGGGTCCTGGTTGGAAGTTGAAGGAGCATGACTCTCTCTGCCCAATCTCTAAGAACTCGACATTTCTCACCACCCACCCACCCGCACAAAAGAAAAGGCACTCGGGAGGGGCTATTCCCAGGGCCCTGCTGGAGAGTGTGTGGTCCCCTGCATCATCAGCATCATTGGGGAGCTTATTAGGAATGCAAAATCTCAGTCCCCGCTCTGCTGTTCCAAATCAGAACCTGAAGTAAACCTCATCCGTTTACTTCAATATACTGAACACACATAGAAACTCCCATATGTGCCGTGAGGTGTTAAAGGTTCGAAGGAGAGTTTGTCGGGCCCCAGGCTTCCCTTTGCTTTGGTTTAGCACCTGCCCACCATTTGCCATTTTATAGAACACAAAGGTGAGTAAGACATTGTCCCAACCCTCGCGGGGCTCATAGCAAGGCCTGCACGGGGCAAAGCGAGTGAAGTGGCCAGAACGCAATGTGTCAGGAGGCAGTGCTGAGCGCGGGGTGAGGTGAGAGTGCCACAGGTGTCCCAGTCACCAAACCCTGTCCCGGCCCGGGTGTGCAGTCTGAAATAGAAAGAGATGCAGGTAAACTAGTCCAACGCGATGTAGCAGGTGGCATAACCGGAAGCCATAGGGGTCCCTCAGAAGCACAGAAGAGGGGTTTTCAGCGGGTGTCTATCTCAGGAAACCTGCCCCGTTTACCCTTTTCCCATAAGAGCAGACTTGAGGATTGTCTTGAGCCCCCAAACACGCTCTCCATGTCCCGAAATACTAGAATTTACACTGCGGGCTTCGAAAGCAAATGCTAGTCTTCGGGGTCTTACTACCTAAGAGCAAAAAGAAGAAATCGGCTGGGTTTTTTGAATGAACAAAAGGTTGCAGCCCCAAGGGTAGGCCCAGAAACAGTGTTCACTCTCCCTTGCCCCCCCTCACAGTTGTGAAACCCAGCGGGGTCCACCTCAAGCTGGTTCTGAGGTTCTCAGACTTCGGGAAGGCCATGTTCAAACCCATGAGGTAAGTGACCGCCTTCCTCAGCTGTGGCAGCCGTGAGGGAGTTTCGACCAAAAATCAGTGGATGTGGAGAGTTTGGAGAGGGGATCTTGTCTTATATTCAGGCCTCTCAAATCCTGGGAAGAAAGAGTTGTGTTCCTTTGGAAAGGGAGCGATCTCGGTGAGCCCATCTGGCTGGTTTAGCCAAGGCTCCAGAAGCAGCCAGGTGATTCTTGGGCGCACCACTCCCCTGGACACAGAGCCGTCACGTTTGAGGCATTACATTGTTTTAAGTCATTGTGACGTTTAGTCATGCAGGGTTAGTGTAGACTCAGAAGTGAGCCCTGGTTAAAGAGAGGTGGCAGGAGGAGCGAACACCGATGGGGAAACACGAGACCTTAAAGGGAAGCAGAAAAACAATGATAAATGATAAATCTGCACATTGACCACCCCTCATCAGATCCATGCTCTGAGCAGCTTTTTTATCTGGCACCTTAAGATGGCTGTGATTTTTTTATGAACTTAAAGCTGATTACACAGAGGGGGAGCTTTACTTTCACTTTTCACGTGTGGGGAGGAAAACCACTCACGCTGGCCACGTTTTCTGTGCAGGAAAGGACCGGAAGTCCCAGCCTTCCGCCGCTTCTCTGCCCCGTCACTTACAAACGACACGCAAAGACTGTCTAAAGGAACCAGTTTCCTTGCTGAATAGAATGCAGGAATTTCCAACATTGGGTCATAAAAGCCATCTTGTCTATTCTTAGACCATAACACAAACTTTAATCAGCATTTGTATAAAATTTCATCCAAAGCCAAAAAGCATCATTTTAAAAACGTACTTCTTGGAAAAGCATGCGTTTTTTTTCTATATGTCATTTAAAGTAAAACAAACAAGCAAACAAAAAAAGTGTCCCTTATTAAAAAGGGAAAGTAGAAGTTTATCTTTGGATAATATAAATTATGACCATAATTAAAGATCGTGTCTCTCATGAAATCTATAGAATATAGACACGGAAAAATACGTCAGCTCTTGACCAAGCCTGAGAAGCACTGATGTAAAAATGATTTTCAGATTTAAAGTCACATCTGGGTAGGCCATACAGAAACGGGGAAATGATGTTTTAGAAAATTCTAAAAGGTGTCGGAGAGACTGTGGATTCTTATGGATGGAATTCACGAATTAAAATGTGGAGATGGGGACCCGTGGACACGCTCCTTTGCTGCCCAGGCATCCGGCGGTGGTGGCGGTGCTCGGGAGGAGAATAGCGGCACCGCTGGACACAGAGACCTGTCCTTTCCATGTGGCCGCACCTTTTAAAACAGAACGCCTGCTTTTGGCAGCCCCTCGCCGTGGTTTCCAGGACTCGTGTTTTTGGCACAGTGCACATTGCTAGTTCAATTGGAGCTGGGTATTTACAGCTTTCTGCAACATTATGGGTATTTACATTGCTCCTGCAGCCCTCACGTAGTCCCCCACGGCGGATTATAAAATTAGATCATCATTCTTCCATGCGTATTCGCAGCAAGGCAAGTCAAGCTCGGGGCCAGAGGCCACGCTGCCCTGAAGGACGGGGAGGCACCTTTCCGAACATTCATACCCGGCCAGCCTGTCACACTCGGGCAGGCCTGATGCTTTTCAGGAATCCATTAGCGATTTTAAAATGTGTGCAAATCAATATCCCCTGCACCGGCCTCCCTCAAGCCTCTGGCTGGGCTCACTCTCAGGACCCCAGCTGAGGTTTCTCTGAGGGGACAGGCTCATTTATTCACCCCGGTCACCCTAAGACCTGGACCTTTTCTGGTCTTCAAATATCAGTTGTATTAAACGGCATCCCTAGGACACTTTTCCTTTTATAAAAGCCCCGCCTCCTCCCCCACCTCTAACGCCTGACATCTGGGTCTGTGGCACCTCTGGTGGGCTAGCAGGTCCCTCTCTTCTGTTTACACCTGCCCAAGAATGTCTTTGTATCTTCCCGACTCAACTACCTTTTAAAAAGGATCAGCTGCTGTCACCAGAGTGGCTCAAACAGGGGACGTGGTCCAGGGAGTGCCTGCAGGACAAGGTCTTGCAAGAAGCCCGCGTGTCTTCTCCCGGCCGCGGGAGCCGCGGGAGCCGCGGGCTGTCCCTGCTGTGTCGTTCCATCAGGCACACGTACATTAAAAGCACGAAGCCTGTTTTCCTCTCCCTCTGGTCATGCTTCTCAGCTCTCTGCTCAGGCTCCTGACGAAGTCTGAGTCCAGGGCGGGACTCCCCCTTTCCTTCCAGACAGCAGCGAGATGAAGAGACACCCGCGGACTTCTTCTACTTCATAGACTTCCAGAGACACAATGCCGAGATCGCAGCTTTCCACCTGGACAGGTAGGTAGGGTTGGGCCCCAGGGACATGGCGTTGAGCGCAAGGGCCGATGGGCCGAGGGGTGCTGGGCAGACCCTCAGGTGGGAACTCCCTGGCCTTTCTTCCTTGCAGCATCCTGTCTTCCTCACGAACCTCAGTGATGCCCTTGAACTCAACACATCTCCTGTTCAACCCCACGTTTGAAAAATACAAGGCCTCTAATGTAGTGAAAAGAATGACCTAGAAAGAAAACTAACCACCCTGCCAGGCTGCTCAGGCTGCCACCTTGTACCTGACCTTGCCCTTCACTCTAGTTTCCTGATTGGAAACGGGGAGAATGCATCCACTTCCGTGTGCCCCATTTCACCCAAAGGTGAAAGCACATGCCTAAACTTCCTCCTCTCCCATCGGCCCGTCCTGGCTACTCAAGGTGTGTTCTACGGACTGGCAGCCGGGGCCCCACCCCGGGAGCTCTTCAGAAATCCAGAAGGTCGGGCTCACCCTGGACCCACTGAAAGAGAGCCTGCCTGTGAACGAGAGCCCAGGTCACTCACATGCCCAGTAACATATGAAAAGCTCTGACCTAGAACATAGCTTGGACTGTGGGAAGGCTTGCCCAGGAGGCTTGCTGGAACCGGGAGTCTTTTGCCACCCCTCCTCCTTAGACACAGGTTTGCCCTGGGTGTGGTCAGCTCAGTACTGCAGAGTGCCCTGGGCTGCACGTGGTCAGGAATGCCCGCCCGTTTCTAAGGGGCGACCATCCGACCCTCTGACGATCCCCCAGACGTGAACAGGGCTTTCTCTCCTCCAGGATTCTGGACTTCCGACGGGTGCCACCCACAGTGGGGAGGCTAGTCAATGTCACCAAGGAAATCCTAGAGGTCACCAAGAATGAAATCCTGCAGAGTGTTTTCTTCGTCTCTCCAGGTAGAGTACTGGCCCGAGCTATGTTTTGGGTGTAGGAGGGTCGGCCCCTGTGGCCGCTGATGCGTTCCCAGTGGTCTGAGCGCCTGCCGGCCCTCCTTGGGAGGGGTATATGCTGCCGCCAGACTCTCCCATCCTGGCCCACACCAGATGAACTGGGGATGGGGATGCTGAGTTTAAGAGCACTCACAAGCCCCGACATCTGGGAAAGCAGTATTTTCTTCTTGCTGCCTCTGCCCAGGCTGTGAGTTGAGGCTTTCCCTTCCCTCCTAGGGGATTTTCCAGGCAGAGGGGAGCAGGAACAGGGCACTGCCTGCTTATTCCTTCTCTCTCTCCTCCCGTGCCCTCCAGCCAGCAACGTGTGTTTCTTTGCCAAGTGCCCGTACATGTGCAAGACCGAATACGCCGTGTGTGGCAACCCGCACCTGCTGGAGGGCTCCCTCTCCGCGTTCCTGCCGTCTCTCAACCTGGCCCCCAGGCTGTCAGTGCCCAACCCCTGGATCCGCTCCTACTCACTGGCAGGAAAAGAGGAGTGAGTTGGCCCCCTGGCCACGATGCCATGCCCACGGCCCTGCCGTCTGGTCCCTGGGAGTGGCTGCCTCCCCGCACCGAGGCCTTGCCGCCAGCGTGGCTCTTGGACCCCCACCCAAACCCCAATCATTTCCTGATCTCAGACCAGTCCTGGGGCCAGCTGTGCCCGTTGTCCCCGCTTTGGCTCATGTATTCAGTTACAAAGAGCCTCCTACGTGCTGGGGGTACGGGAATGCAAGACACAGGCTCCCCCCGGCCTAGGGGGGCGGTCGGACGAGTAGGCAGTTTACGAAAACACAGCAGCGCACTTGCGGTCATAGACAGAAGCACGTGAGGAGCCCGCAGGAGCGACACCTGCCCCACCCGAGTAAACCCCGGGAAGCCTAGGCCCCAGAGTTGGGATCGGGAGGCAGGGATTTGGGGGGGCACGGGGAGGTGGGAGGAGGGCCCCCAACACCTTGCCGTCTTGGCTTTTCCAGCCCCAGGATTTCTTCTCCCCTCAGGTGGGAGGTCAATCCACTTTACTGCGACACCGTGAAGCAGATCTACCCGTACAACAGTAGCAACCGTCTCCTCAACATCATCGACATGGCCATCTTCGACTTCCTGATAGGTGGGTCCCCGAACCCCGCGCTCAGGCGCTTGACGGCAGTGGCCTCTGCTGTGGGGCTGGGATTCGCCGTGACCTTGGGCAATGAGCTGGAGCCTGGACCGTGAGGCCTGAGGAAACGCACATGGCCCAGAGCCTTGGAAGTGGCAGAGGTCCCAGAGGACAGAGGTTGACAACATGCTCCCCTCTTTAGAGAGGACCTCACTCAGAAGGCAGGCACACAGTGTACAGCCTGCCCAGATGAGGGTTTCTGTGCTCTCTTAGCCCCCCCTCTCCCCCTGCACCATCACTAATAACCGCGGGAAACAGCATGGGGCCCTGGGTTCAGACTCCTGACTCAGTTGCGATCAGGGCCCCCAGGCCTGGGGAGGACGCAGAGGTCGGAAGCACCTGCCCTCCTTTGCAGGAAATATGGACCGGCACCATTATGAGATGTTCACCAAATTCGGGGACGATGGGTTCCTCATTCACCTTGACAATGCCAGAGGGTAAGTGTCCAAACACCGCTGTCCCCGCCATGGCCCTGGGTGCCGCTGCTCAGGGCCAACCGGAGGCCCCCCGAGAATGAGGCCCTTCCGTGGTCACGTTCCCGGTCGCCCTGCCCTCCTTGTTCCATTTCCTTTTTCTCCCGATGTTTGCTAAATAATGCTGGATTCTCCTCCGGCATGTTTTTACTAAGTGATTCAGTCCTGGAGGCAGAGCGCGGGGCTCATCCTCAGCGTCTGGCCCTCTGTAGTTAGGGAATGAATGAATGAACGAACGAATCAACGAATGAACGATGCTTGGTTGTAATCCCTTTGCACAGAGGCTTTTGGGAGCTGATCCCAGGCATTTTACCCCGGGCTGTCAGAACAAGGCTGAGAGAGAGAGAGGAAACCATTAGGAGGGAGGTGTGGGGGGAGATGGCCCTGAAAGCCCGTCCCCCCTTCCAGGTTTGGACGACACTCCCAAGACGAACTCTCCATCCTGTCGCCGCTGTCCCAGTGTTGCAGGTGAGCTCCCAGCTCCAGGGCAGGTGGCCACTGTGACCCTGCATGCCACTTGCAACCAAGCTCTGAAGGTCCTAGTGTTCACTGGCCTAGGACCCCGGTGGGTAGGCGGACAGGAATGACCTCATTTCTTGTCCACTGACAGAATTTTCCCCAGCAATGCCTCCCTTTTGCATCTGTCCGCACAGGATGAATGAGGACCTCGTCTTTTAAACCCTTCAGTCGCTAACTTTGATCTTTAACCCACTCAGAGAAGAGCTCATCCTTGCAGAGTCTGATAGTCTTGGACACGGCTAATCAGATCTCTGCTTTGCTCAGCACTCAGAGAAGCTCATAAATATGACTTGCTCACCATCTAAGTAAAATCCTGGGCGCCTGGGTGGCTCAGTTGGTTGAGCGACTGCCTTCGGCTCAGGTCATGATCCTGGAGTCCCGGGATCGAGTCCCACATCGGGCTCCCTGCTCGGCCAGGAGTCTGCTTCTCCCTCTGACCCTCTTCCCTCTCGTGCTCTCTCTCTCTCTCAAATAAATAATCTTAAAAAAAAAAAAAAATAAAATAATATCCTGATTAAAGTCCCATAAACTAGGGGCGCCTGGCTGGCTCAGTCAGTAGAACACGCGACTCTTGATCTCGGGGTCGTGGGTCCGAGCCCCACGTTGGGTGTAGAGATTCCTTAAAAATAAAATCCCTAGGGGTGCCTAGGTGGCACAGCCAGCCGAATGTCCGACTCTTGGTTTTGGCTCAGGTCGTGATCTCGGGGTCGTGGGATCGAGTCCCAGGTCGGGCTCTGCACACAGTCTGCTTAAGACTCTCTCTCCCTCTGCCCCTCCCCACTCAAAAATAAACAAATCCTTAAAAAATAGAAATAAAATCTTTAAAAAGTCCTACAAACTCGGGGGGTGGGAGGATGGGTTAGCCTGGTGATGGGTATTAAAGAGGGCACATTCTGCACGGAGCACTGGGTGTTATGCACAATGAATCATGGAACACTACATCAAAAACTAATGATGTATGTGATTAACATAACAATAAACAATTTTTAAAAAGTCCTATAAACTCATGTCAGATTGAAAGGAAGTACTTGGACTTTGCGTGGCCACCATGCTCTAGAGAATGTCTAACCCATTTCCATACCTCTCTGGTGTCGAAGTCAGGCTGGTAAAATGGTCCGCCTGCTCAGCTGCAGTTTCCAGACCTAACTAGAAATGCGGGATGCACGCCTAGCAAAACCACCTCATTCATTTCCAGCTGGAAAACTCTGAGCAAAGCATGTTCTTTAGCCGCTTCTTAGGTTCATTTAAACATGCCTCCCTCCGGCCCTCCCTCTCCCCGAGTAGGCGAGGCAGGGGCCGTTGATGACAAGTCAGACAATTAAGCTGCTTACACATCTGAGTGCAAGTCAGATTCTCACATAAAAAGCAATCAAAATCCACCTCATTTCCATCCCTCTAAGAGTCTGACCCAGAGCAATATAAAGTTGGCAAGAAACAACTGAGAGGCTGAGGGTACCTATGGCTTTTGAGATGGCAAACCTCTTCATCATTTAACCTACCAGAAACTTCTCTCAGTGGCTTTAAATCTCCTTCAGATGTCGTTAACGGTCATTTATTTCCTTTTCCCTGGTTTCCATTAACGCATGCTTGAGAAGACACTGGGGGAAAAGGCTCCCAGAACATCACCTACGACAGCTGTTTGTGGGGAAAGACGTTCAGGCAAGCTTTTCTCTTCACATTTACTTATTTGCCTCCTATATTCTGTCCTTCCAGGATAAAAAAGAAAACGCTTTTGCACCTGCAGCTGCTGGCCCAGGCCGACTATAGACTCAGTGACGTGATGCGGGAGTCTTTGCTAGAAGACCAGCTCAGCCCCGTCCTCACCGAGCCCCACCTCCTGGCCCTAGACCGGAGACTCCAAATCATCCTGCAGACAGTGGAGGGGTGCGTGGAGGCCCACGGAGAGCAGAATGTCATAGCCACGGACCCATCAGAACAGTCCGCCCCTGACTCTAGCCAGGCTAACTTGACAAGCTAAGGGCTAGATGAAGCCAGATTTCAGGAACTACCCATGGAGCCAGAGGTGGACTTGGGTACAGACCACTGCTTCCTTGCATCCCCGTCAAGGCTGGAGGGACTGGGTCATGAGCTCTGGAAGAGGCAGGGCACTGGGATGATTCCACAGGGGCAAAAGAGGAGGGATCCACTGAATTTTCTTCCTTGGTGCACAGCTTCTCTAGTGGACCTCCTTGCCACCCCCCCTTCCCAGAAAGCACTGCTTCAGCAAGGCCACAGACCATCTCCCGAGCCCACTGGGAAATCTGGATTAGGAGCCGGGCTTGGAAGGTTTGGGAGCCTTGTCCCAGAAAAGAGTAGAACAAATAAAATTAAAGGACACCAATGGATACCTAGCTGACCTCCAGATCCTTATTATATCTACAAGGATCACTTCTGATCCAGATAAAACATCTGGCATCTCCGGAGTAGACCAAAAAAAAAAAAAAAAAAAAAATGTAAACATGGTAGCTCCCAAACTAGTTCAAAGTAGACTTTACACTTTCTATTTCTGTCCAGTCACTGTGGCTTCAACTGAATACAGTAATCCCTTATTGACCAGTCCAAAAGTAATTTCTTGGAAACGTTATTACAAAGGGTAAAAATAACAGGAATTTGCTCAGAATATCTGAAAAGGGACGTTTTCAATCTGAAGAGTATTTAAATACCAACCAAAATAACATCCAGTATGTCAGATTTAGCCTCCAGCAACAAGAGAAGGAATTGTACTGAAGGGAAAACCAGTGTATTCTTGAAGGTGGAACAGCAGGGGAATGGGCCTAGCAGGTGCATGCGCCTGGACTCGGGCAGGAGAAAAGCCAGGGCCTCCCACTGCCCACCCACTACAATCCTCTTTCCCGTAAGGGCCCAGGACTGTCGCCCACCCGCCCCCAAAAGCAGGAAGCTCTCTGAAGAGGCCTGACACTCTAGATACCCCTCCTCTCACTGCTTTATCAAAAAAGGAGTCAATCAAGTTGACTTTTTTTTTAAGATCTTATTTCAGAGTGAGCAAGAGAGAGAGCACACAAGCAGGGGGGACGGGCAGAGGGAGAGGGAGAAGCAGGCTCCCTGCTGAGCAGGGAGCCCGACGTGGGGCTCGATCCCAGGACCATGACCTGAGCCAAAGGCAGACGCTTAACCGACTGAGCCACCCAGGGGTCCCCTCAAGTTGACTTTTGAAGCCTCCCTTAAAAATGGATGCCTCAGGGGGATCCCATCCCCTCAGCCTTCTCCCTACTGACTTGCCAACAGCCGAGACACCTTTCTTGGGAGGCTTTGTTTCTTATTCCCTAATTCATGTCTGAAAACCCAAATGATAGGAATGTATTCATACTGTGGAGTGATGGACCAGTCAACAAGTACAAATGGCCGATCTCAGCACATCCTCTTTCCCGATAGGGGCCAGAGGCTCACATTCTAGAAGTATGGGGGGGGGGGGCGTTTCGAAAGAAGTTGTCAGGTGCCAGGTCAGACAGCAGAGAGGTCGTCCAAGCCCTGACAAGTGACACGGGTTTTCTGACCCACCCGGTACCCCATATCCCTGGCGCATTACATACCCCTGAGCCTCAGTCTCCGGGACAATGACGTCAGGGCCACTCACGAAGCTCTTCCCAGGTGACAGTCAGCGGACAGGTTTCCCAGCCTCCCGAAAACACACAGAGAATCCCTTATCTCCAAGGTACACAGAAAAAAACGGTCTCACAAAATCACACAACTTAATGATTTAAACTTACTCCCAAGTGTTCTTTCCACTGTCATATAAAAACCCAGCAGTACTTCAATCAGTCTGTGAAGTTATGTTGGTTTAGAAAAACTCAACCCCTTAGTAGAACCGTTCCCCCAGAGACTTCCATCCCCCACAGGCTCTACCGCTGCTCAGGGCTTCCCACTTCATGAACTGTCTCCTACTTCGAGACACTATTATCTTTGGGTGGAGGGACTAGGTAACTGCACACAGACGAGTGGCAGAAAAATATTCAAGCAAAGATAGCTGTTCAAAGAACAGCACAGAATGGTCTGGGGTGTCAAACCCCTGAGCCTAAGGAAGGTAAGCCACAGCTCCGTCTCAAACCCGGCCACTTCTAAGAAAATGCGCTGGTTTTCAAATGGACTAGAATAAACACTGTGGTGTATTTTACAAAGAGTAATAGAACGGAGTCTGACCACAATACGTAAAGTACCGAGTTACCTAATTTTTTACTTAAAACACCCCATTATTTTTTCACTAATGCAAAGATTAAGACTCTATCATTTGTCAAAAATACCAGAGAACAGAAGACTCCTTTGACTGTCAGGTTCTTCCAACATGTCCATTTTGGACCACTGTTCAACTTCCCATCACATAAAAATTCTCTTTATAAAAACTTTTCACGTTACTACTGACAATGAAATGAAAAATGAAAGGGAACTGTCAGTACAAAAACTGGTAGGGAAAGGGGTTTGAAGGAATTCAGTTTTGCCTGCCCAAAAGCCAGGAGACAATCTGAGTTTGAAGACTGTAAAAAGTGCAGTTGGTTATCTTACTTGTGGTAGTTTTATAAAGTCACCATGGATGCCAAATCAGTGGAGACAGAACCATTTGCGCCCAGAGGAAATACAGGGCTGAGGTTCCCAGGAGCCTTTAGTTGCAACATTTTTGTAAATAAATCAATATGTAATCTTCTCTTACGTGTTAAGGTGTGTTAAAGACACCACAGTAGGCACTGTTAAGAACACTGAACTTGTGGCCAACATAACTCACGCGCCTTAAAGAAGCTACTTAATACACTTATTTTCTCTACAAGACACACATCACAGCCTCCTCGACCTTAGGAACACGCGCCAGCACTTTAGCACTACACTTGAGGGCCATTTTAAGTACTGAAATCACCCAGAGAAAGCACAAAAATGCCAGAGCAGCACCGGACAGACCGCTAGGCGGCCACGGACACGCGAGGGCAGCCGGACAGCCGGGACCACAAGGCAGAGCGGCGCTTCGCTCAAGCCCCCCGGGGCACGCGCACGTCAGGGCCATCGACGTCTTTGCCACTCTGCTCACATCCGGGAAGGACAGGGAAAGTGCTCCGAGTACTGACTTGGGGGTTACTAATAAATTTTAGCAGGTAGGCAAATTCACAGAATTCGCAAATACAACACCATGAATAACGAGGACCAACTGTTAACGCCTTTGACATTCACCAAGATGATAAAACAAAAGCTCTCCATCTAGTGGTGACTTTGGGAATCACAAAGCTACTGAAGCTAAATTGGCAGAACTTGCACACGACAAAAAAAATTACGCTCATCAGTGGTTTGAGTTTTGGGTCGGCTCAGGATGAAGTCACAGCTCTTAAGTTAATGTTAACAAATTTTAACATTAAATGTGCACAACAATACTGATTTCTATGTGAAAGCTCCACGGGGTTAGAAGGGAGAGGTTTAAGACTCGCCCTTTTAGAATCTCCTATCTGCAGCCTTTACTGACAGCAGTTATGATGGCTACTTTGGGGGACACATTAACTGGTGATCTGGCCACTGCCTCTCGATGTTGTTCTAGCCCATCTAGAAATACGCTGCCGGGGCCAAACAAAAATACAAAAAGGTTCAGTTATTAATTTGTGATTGTGGAGATAAAGCAGTATTAAGAAAATGAACATCATGCTACTTCAATTTTAAAATGTCAATATTTAAAAATAAATAATATCAATATTTAAGTCATTAAAAAACAAAAGACAATTCCACATGAGCCAGAGTTCTAGAAGAACGAAACTAGAACCAGTATAGTCAATCCAAGGAAGTTCTCCTCCATTATATTCTGTGGTGACTCTGAATGTTCCCCTTCAGCAGGCTGAGGGAAGGGGCTACTGAATCCGGACAAAGTGCATCTGTTCCAAAGCAGCACAAATTAAAGAATGTTCTAGAATACGACATATCTCGAAGTAAGTCAGAGAAAGACATGTATCATATGACCTCACTGATAGGAGGAATTCTTAATCTCAGGAAACAAACTGAGGGTTGCTGGAGTGGTGGGGGTGGGAGGGATGGGGTGGCTGGGTGATAGACATTGGGGAGGGTATGTGCTATGGTGAGTGCTGTGAATTGTGCAAGACTGTTGAATCACAGATCTGTACTTCTGAAACAAATAATGCAATATATGTTAAGGAAAAAAGAAGAAGAAGAAGATAGCAGGAGGGGAAGAATGACGGGGAGTAAGTCGGAGGGGGAGACGAACCATGAGAGACGATGGACTCTGAAAAACAAACTGAGGGTTCTGGGGGGGTGGGGGGATGGGTTAGCCTGGTGACGGGTATTAAAGAGGGCACGTTCTGCGTGGAGCACTGGGTGTTATGCACAAACAATGAATCATGGAACACTACATCAAAAACTAATGATGTAATGTATGGTGATTAACATAAAAAATTTAAAGAAAAAAATAATAGAATACGACACATCTCCAACTTCACTGGATATGAAGGAATACCAATAAACTAATGAGTACAACTTAATCATCTCAGAAATCTGAAGAATTTCAGAAATAAGACTTTATGAATGTAAAATATACATAAGTAAGCATACCTAAATACCCAAAGGCATGTATTAAATTTAAACCAGAGAGTATGCTGATCCAGAAGTGACATTTCCCATGAAGTCTGGGAAAGTTCCAAGACCAGAGAACCAGTCCGTCTTGAATAAAAAGGAACTCTTGGCTTTTGATTGAATCTTTTCCTTCCACTACTCAGTAAACAGATCTGCTTCAACTCAATCATGCTTCAAGTAAGGATTTGAGATTCATTCTTTGGAATGGATTGGAAACACTGAAAACAAACATTATTCTTTCAAAACACTAATCCCATAATTCACTCTTGATTTTCATTCTTGCCCACCAGATTAAAAGTTCCTGGGGGAGAGGGGGAAGAAGACAAGGACAGGAGAAGGGGAAGAAAAACTGATTCATTTAAGGATTTAAATTATTTAATCTTTTTTTATTACTTGACCTACTGTTAAGACAATCTATAACAAAAAGAATAGAGTAATATTAGCACACACAGTATAATTAGACTAGTAACCAGGAAACGATACAAAATGGTCCTTTGGCCGTCTACACTTTCTAGAGCAGTAGGTCTCTTAAATTCACTTACCAAGCCCAGAAATAATGACTTCCAAAGCCCTGAATATCCACTAAGACAAATTATGCCAATTGTGATTTCTCACATATACTCAGATTGCACAAAGAGAAAGCTTTTAAATGTGATAATTTTTAAATTGAGACTTAAAATTCCTTAGATTAAAAACTACAAAAGGGAGTAAACAGCAAGCCAAATGATTTAAGAGCAAAACTCATTTAGAAAGCGTTATATGTATCTAAATATACATGAACGTGATTATATACATATATGAAAACTGTGCAAATTTGTGGCATTCTAAATAATTCATTTAAGTACAGTTTTGGCATTTAAACAAAGATCAAATCAAGCTTTAAGCTAATAAGAACATTTTTATTTTTAATTTTTTAAATAGAAAAAGGTAGCTAAACACAAAGTACAGATCAGAAAACCCTCATTTAATATAGATTATTTTGAAAAA